TCCTGCCCTTGCTGCCCCCTGTCCGCAGAGCTGTCTCCCGTGCCGTCCCCATTTTGCACAGCTTTCACCCGCCCCTGCCCTGCTCTGCCCCAGCAGCGCAGGGCTCAGTGCAGCTGGCGGGAGGCAGGGTCAGCCCTTTGCAGCCTGTTCTGAATCACTAGGCCTTTGTGCTCAGAAGCAGAAAAGAGCCTTAGCTCTGCCCGAAGGCCGGGAGGACCAGGAGGTCCTGCCTTCCTGTGTTTTCTCCCAGTCCTAGCCCCATTGCCCCCCTCCAGTGTCTTTGCCTCTGCCCCCAGGAGGTGCGGTAGGGTCTGCACAGTTCTGAGCATCCCCTGCCTCTGTTTACCCAGAGGCCTCTTGGCCCAGTAGGCACGTCCCCCGCCCTGAGCGTTTGTTTTGCGGGGACCACTGAGTGCTGCTGCCAGTTGGGCATTCACCTCATTTTCCTCTTGGGCCATCTGTCCACCAACAGCTGGCTGTGCCCATGGGGACCACTTAGTGCAGTATCACCCACTGCCGAGATGCCTTGGGGGCAGTGGCGGTGGGACTTGGGGAGGGGCCAGCCTCGATGTGCTGACCCAGACAGCCCCAGACAGCCTGACTGTGAGACGGGATTGCCCATGTGCATGCCCCGTGCTGGTCCCGGGCCCTGGCGGATGGCATGGCCATGTTGCAGGGTCCGGGTTCTGTCTGCCTAGAGCCTTGCCCCCCACCAACGTGACTGGGAGGGAGGAAAACAGAGGGAATGGGCTCCTCGTCCAAGTCGCTCAACCTCTCTCAGCTTCAGTTTTGTCTTCTGTAGAGCGGGGATCACAGCGATGCCCCCGGGCAACTCGCCGAGGTCAGGTGTGTTCTGGGCACGCAGTGACCGTGAGCTCAGGTTGCTGGTAATCCTCCAAACAGCTCCCCGAGGGGGGATCCACTAAATTTCTGACAGTCAAAGGAGAGAAATCGCCTGCCACAGTCAGGTCGGGTTTGCTCTGGGCAGTTTTCAGAACCTCCTGGAAAGGGGTGGGGGAAGAGGAAGTATTTACAGTCGCAGTGGCTGCTGTCCGGGGAGGGAGCACAGTCTGGCGAGGAGCCACGTTTCAGAGCAGAGGGGCCAGCGAGTAAGACAAGGCTGCAGAAAGGGTTGGCCCGTGATGAAGAGATGGGGCCTCTCCCCTTGTCCTGAGCCCCGCCCTCATCCTCCTCCAAGGGGACAAGCTGGACGCCGACTACATCGAGAGGTGCCTGGGCCACCTCACGCCCATGCAGGAGAGCTGTCTGATCCAGCTTCGGCACTGGCTGCAGGAGACCCACAAAGGCAAGGTGGGTGCACGTCCCGAGGTGGGTGCTCGGGAGCTCCGATCGATGCCTTGCGAGGTGCTGCTCCACCGCACGGGGGTTTTCCCCCCACACTAACTCCCGTGGATGAATGTGCGTGGAGGGCCCTGGCTTGGGCCTTATCTTGAGCTCTGTTGACATGAACTTCTGGCTCGGTCGTGACTCTCCTTTCCTTCCCACGTGGGGCAGGGGTAGGCAGACAAGGGAGTTACTTTAGTGCTGGCTGTGACTTAAGCTTCTGCTCCATGGGGATGAGGTTAGGGTGCACCTGCTAGAGAGGACCCCGACGGGCAATCCATGGAAAATGCTTAGAATGGAGTGAGCACTCCAGAAAGGGCAGCTCCCACTGGGGCCGGTTTTGTGTAATTGGCACAAGGGGGGTAGGGAGAAGGGCCAGTTCCCCCAAAGACATATGCTACGCCCAGCACCGAAGGGAGGAGTGTGAGGTGGCTGGGAAGCACTCCTTCAGCCCACCCCTCGGCCGTCTCTCTGCTTTGTGGCTGAGGGGGAATCCGGTCCTTTTCCCAGCTAGATATTTCGCAGGTGAGGCGAGGCTCATTTTCTGACTTTCCACCTGCTGGCCTGGGGAACACCATTCTCTGAGCTTTTCCTTCTTCCCCTCTCAGATCCCTAAGGACGAGCACATCCTTCGGTTCCTGCGGGCTCGTGACTTCCACCTGGACAAGGCCCGGGAGATGCTGTGCCAGTCCCTGAGCTGGCGGAAGCAGCACCAGGTGGACCTCCTCCTGCAGACCTGGCGGCCCCCTGCTCTCCTGGAGGAGTTCTACGCAGGCGGCTGGCACTACCAGGACATAGGTGCGGGCCTCTGCCTGTCACTGCAGCTGCACTTGAAGTGGCATGCGTCGTGCCCGTGTCTTACTCTTCCTCCTGGGCATCTGGCGGTGCCTGTGAGGGTGCCCCCGCTGTGAAGGCAGTAGCGCTGTAGTGGACCTGGGGTGGAGGAGGAGATAGCTCTGGGGGCCGGGTTGCCCACCTCGGTTTGGGGCCAAGGTGACTTATACATGACGACTGCAGCACGATGGTGTGCATTTCCTAGGATGGCCAGAACCGATGACCACAGGCTAGGTGTTTTAAAGCTACAAGGTTTTTCTTCCCTCTCACCATCCTGAAGCCAGAAATCTGACACTGAGCTCTGAGCAAGGCCGTGCTTCTTCCGAAGGCTCTAGGAGAGAACCCTTCCTGCGGCTTCCCGCTCCTGGGGACCCCAGGTGTTGCTCGGTCTGTGGCTGCACTGCCCGGTCCCCACCTCCTCCTTCCCTCATGGCCTTCCCGTCTGTGTGTCACTGTGTTCCCACCTCTTCTTGTAAGGATCCGGGTTATCGGATGTACCCCCCTCCCGCAGTGTGATTGAGATCTTTAATTACATTTGCAGACTCTTTCCAAATAAGGGACCTGGTTCCACCTACTACAGAGAGCTGGGTGTCTAGGTCAAGTCACTGAAGCTAATGCCCACTGAAGCCAGTGTCCTTTATGTAAAAATGCCTAACTTATAAAACAGGTAACGTGTGATATCCGGATAGCTAGCTAGTGTAGACAGGTCTCACCACGTGCTGGTCCTCCTGCCCAGTGTCCCGAGGAGCTGGGCTGCTGGTGCTGCCATTGTGCTTGACTTTTAGGGTGGGCTGAGAATTGAACCCAGGCCTCCATGTGGCCTCAGCCTGCTGAGTGACAGTGTCAGCCAGTAGGTGCTACAGTGGCTGGGCCCAAGAGTCACATATAGGGACTAGGGTGGCTACTTGACACTCCTGAAGGACTGGTCGGCATGGTTTCTTTCTTGTCTTTCTTTTTAAAAATAATTTAATCTTTACTTGTTATTATTGTTTTTAATTTGCTGTAGGGCATATATGCTCACCAGAGAGAGACAGAGAAAGCAAGCTGTAGTCGGCCATGTAGGAGCCCAGCGCCTTAACCACCACGCCACCTGCTGGTCCTGAGTCCAGCACCTTAACCACCACGCCACCTGCTGGTCCTGAGTCCAGCACCTTAACCACCATGCCGCCTGCTGGCCCCTGTCTTTTCATTTTTTCTTTTCTTTTTTTTATTTGCCAGAGAGCGCATGCATTCACTAGAGAGGAGAGAGAGAGAGAGCGCGCGCCTCCTTGCTGCCCCCAAGTGGGCATGGTCACCCCGCAGTCCTCTCTCCATCCCTCACGTGGTCAGGGTTGGGGGGTGTGGCCATGGGACCACATCCCCTGCATGCGAGACTGGCCCTGGTGTGGTTCCTTCCCAAGCACAGTTGGTCCTCACTGTGTGGTTTTGTACTTGAGGATTCTGCTGGCCAACATTACCCTGTGACCCAGATCAGCACCAGGGGCTTCTGCAGTGTGGTGGGACGTTTGGGCTGCCTTCGGCATGTCTCAGCCCTCACGTCACGATGGAGCGTCCCTTCGCGGCCTGGCCAGTACTGTGCTTGGCATCATGGTGCCTTTCACTAGCGATTTTGCTGTTGAAAATGCCCCCGAAGGTAGTGCCTAAGTGCTGTCTAGTGTCCCTCGGCTCCAGGAGGCTGCGGCATGCCTTCGGTGGGAATGTCCGTGCTCAGCCGGCTTTGCGCACCTGTGATCTCACACGTGCTGTGAGTGTCCTCTCCCAGGGGTACAGGAGGCTGGTCAGGGCCTGACTGGACGGCAGATGATGCCCAGAGGCTCCGAGGAACCTACGCCGTATTGCCCGAGGCACAGTGGTTTTGCGTTTGCTCATTTATGGCGACTTTGTAGGACATACTGTCAAGAATAATGAGAACCGAAGTGCCAGTGAATTAATCCCCATGCTCCGCCTTAGCTCTGGCTGAGCGGTGTCCTCTGGACTCCTTCGTCACATGGCTCCAACCTCCGGTAAAAGACGGTAAAGGGCCAGCCAGGCAGGGTGGTGGTGAAGGCAGCTGGACCCCAGATGGCTGACTGCGCGTTTGCAGTTCTGACCTGGCAGCTTGAAAAGCAGGCCGGGTACGTGTGTGCGGGCACGTGCATGCCCCGGATCCTGAGAGGAGAAGGGACTGTGGTGTGGCCATCTTCCTTGGGGGAGATACTTCTCTCTCCGATGCGTGCGCATGCCCTTATGGAAAAAAGAAAATAAAAAGACTTTACAATAAGCTGTTTCTTTTAGAAGGGTCTCAGGTTGATGGTTTGCACATCCCCTCTCCATTTCCCCAAGGGCGTTGTTTCCTTGCTGCTGTTTCCATATCTCAGTTTCTGTCTTTTATTTAAAAAAAAAATTGGGGGAAGAGTTATTTCATTTTATTTATTATTATTATTATTATTAAATTTGTTATAGGGCATGTGTGCTTACCAGAGAGAGAGAGAAAGTGAGAAAATAAGCCTCAAGATCCGGGACTTGAACCATGGTCGGTCATGTGGGAGTTTAGCACCTTAACCACCATGCCACCTACTGGCCCTGCGGTTTCCATCTTAGTAAATGGTGTCAGCCCCCCTTGGAGCAAGCAGCCCAGTATTAGCTCGTGAGTGGATGAGCAGGGCCTTGGTGGGCCAGCCTGGCGCCTCCTCCCTGGGGAGGCCAGGTGCCCTTGGCAGCCTGGGCCTGCCCACCCCCCTCCTCAGCACCCCTCAAGATCACCCTGGGCCTGCCCACCCCCCTCCTCAGCACCCTCTGAATAACGGTCCCTTCTCTTTGCTTGGTTCTCCCACAGACGGTCGCCCCCTCTACATCCTCCGCCTGGGCCAGATGGACACCAAGGGCTTGATGAAGGCCGTAGGGGAGGAGGCGCTGCTGCAGCACGTGAGCCAGGCACTTCTGGGGCCCGGTGGCCGGGGCACCCTGGGCCTGCCCACCCCCCTCCTCAGCACCCTCTGAATAACGGTCCCTTCTCTTTGCTTGGTTCTCCCACAGACGGTCGCCCCCTCTACATCCTCCGCCTGGGCCAGATGGACACCAAGGGCTTGATGAAGGCCGTAGGGGAGGAGGCGCTGCTGCAGCACGTGAGCCAGGCACTTCTGGGGCCCGGTGGCCGGGGCAGCTTGCAGACAGATTTGTCAGCAGCGTCTCTACCTCCCAGGTGCTTTCTGTCAACGAGGAGGGACAGAAGAGGTGTGAAGGGAACACGAAGCAGTTTGGCCGTCCCATCAGGCAAGAGCTGGGTGTGAGCAAAGTGGCCTGCAGAGCGAGTTCAGCTAACACTCACTGTGCACACCAGTGGCGTGTTGGGCGCTGCTTGCTGCGTCCTGCCTCATTCTCACAGCACGATCTTCTAAGCTCTCCCCCCCCGTTCTCATCACTTTTAAAAAGTTTAATTATTGGGACCAACAATTAGTGTAATGGCTATGTCGCTGGACTTCCATGTAGTTGACCGTGGTTCGAGTCCTGGACCCGGTGGCTTAAACTCATGCCGGGTGTGTGTGGGGTTGATTTCTCGCTTTCTGTCTCTCTGTCTCTCTCTGTCTCTCTGGCGAGCACACACGCCCTGTAGCAAAAGAAAAAAAAAAGTTTAATTATTTCCTCCATGAATGAGACAGAGAGAGCACGCGCATCCCAACAGGCTCTTCATTGCCACGATCCATCCCTGGCCTCAACCAGCCCTAAAAAGAAACCAGGCCAAGGCCACACAGCAAGTGGCAGTACTGGAATTCGAACCCAGGCCCACAGGGTTAGCCTTCTCCACAGTGGGTAGGAGTAACTGGCCTCTGCCAAGTATGCGCCGTCCTGTCGAGTGCTCCCCACTGCCAGCTCAGTTAACCCTCACAGCGGTTGCTCGAGGTGGCGCATCGCCCCTGCCACGTCCTGGGGAGGGAGGTTAGGTCCGTGGCCCCATCGTGCTCCCAGAGGTGGAGATGAGACGTGGATTTGGGAGCTCTGCCGGGAGCCCATGCCCTGAACCCTTCACTACCTGGCCTCCCCACAACGACAGGACTCACGAGAGTGACTGGGGGCCCCTCTGCTCCCGGCCCTGCCTCGCTGAGCCTCCCCATCATCCAGGAGGGTGTGGGGGGCCCTGGGAGGTGGCAGAGCCAGGTGGCATGAGGGCCCCGTGTCTGCTGCAGCTCCTGGACCTGCCTGCTGGACCTGGAGGGTCTCAACATGCGGCACCTGTGGCGGGCGGGGGGGGAGGCTCTGCTGCGCATGATCAAGGTGGTGGAGGACAACTACCCCGAGACCCTGGGCCGGCTGCTCATCCTGCGAGCGCCCCGCGTCTTTCCCGTGCTCTGGACGCTGGTAGGAGCGCGAGCCCCGGCCAGGCTCTCTGGGCGGGACCCGGGGTGGGAGAGGGTCCCTCTGTCTTAAGCCCCGCCTTGCCTGGTCATCCTGTGTCATTTTCCTCAAGTAACAGCTTTATGGAGATTAAACTCATACACTATGAAGTTTGCCCATTGAGGGGACCAGTAGTTGGTATAATGGCTATGTCACTGGACTCCCACGTAGTCGACTGCCGTTCGAGTCCCGGATCTGGTGGCTTAAACTCGCCCCGGGTGCGTGTGCGTGCGTGACCAAGATCCTGAGAGGAGAATAGAGGAGAAGGGATTGTGCCACTCCCCCCGCCCTGGGGTGTGATTTCTCGCTTTCTGTCTCTCTGTCTCTCTCTATTTCTCTGGTGAGCGCACATGCCCTATTGCAAAAACCTCTCCCCCCGCAAAAAAACAAAAACAAAGAAGTTTCCCGTTGAGCATGTAGAATTCAGTGGTTTTTAGCATATTCAGTTATGCAGCCCTTGCCACTAATTCCTGCACATTTAAACCATCCTAGAAAGAGCCCCCAGACCCATAGACCCATAGCAGTCACCTCCGCCCTCTCCCCTGCCCCCGCAGCTCCTCATCTGCTCCTGTCGCTCTGGCCACCTGTCCTGGCCTGGGGCTGGCCATACCCGGCTGCCTCCCTGAGGTTCGCGCTACAAGGCTCCTCCGTGTCGTAGACCGGGCCAGCGCCCCCTTCCTATTATGGCCGAATAGTGCTCTGTCACACAGTGGGCTGTTTGCACATGCGCTGTTTCCTTGACATGAGTCCCACTCAGAATCCTGGAGCAGCCTGGGACTCCTTTGAGCGGGTTCCAAAACGGAGTTTGTGCTGTAGGGATTTGAAACATGTTGCCCATGAGCCGTGATGTGAAATGCACTCTGTGCTGCAGCCCGGCACACGCACTCACGCAGAATCAGAGGCCCCGCTGGGCCACGTGACTCTGCCTCCGCCTGCCCTCCCGCCTCCCTCTCCCGCTACCTCTTGGCCCCAGTGAGGATACTTGGAGAACTGGGTTGACAGGCAGCTTCCAGCTCAGTGTTAATTCAAAACTTCCCATCTGGGACGGACAATAGGGCCATGCCCTGGAAGGGGAAAGGAGTGTTAGGCAGCTGCAAAAAAGAGGGACGCTCGGATCAGGCAGATGAGCCCCAGAGGCTGCTGCTCAGGCGGCATCCTGCAGGGGTGGCCGCGCACCGTGCGACTGTGCGCACGCATACCCAGAGCAGGACTCCGGAGAGAGCAGAGCAGGAGTTACGGGGTTACAGGGTTACAGCGGGGTGGGGACATGGCTGTGAGCCGGGGACAGGTTCCTTTCGGGGACTTGAATCTGTCTGGGACGAGGTAGAGGTGGTGACTGCAACACCATGGGCGCACTTCAAGTGGTTGTCCCAAGGCATCTGAGCTCCCGCCGGAACCACTGTCTGTGCCCCACCCTCCGTTTCAGATCAGCCCCTTCATCAACGAGAACACCAGGCGGAAGTTCCTCATCTACAGCGGCAGCCACTACCAGGGCCCCGGGGGCCTCGTGGACTACCTGGATAAAGACGTGATCCCCGACTTCCTTGGCGGGGAGAGCGTGGTGAGGCTCCAGTGGCCAGTCCTGGGCCTGTGGAGGGGTGGCCGGGCTGGGGGGCCCGGTTCCTGGGGCCGGGCTGCAGGGATGGCAGGGGAAGCAGACAGCCTGGCTGGGAGGGGGAGGTGTAGGTGGAGGCAGAGACAGGTCCTGCACACAGAGGGACCACTCTGGGCCTGTCTGGGATGCCCAGACCACTCCTAGGGTGGGAGCACATCCAGACCCCCTCTTACTGATAGCCAGAGACCTGGGCCACAGCCTCCCTCTCCTGTGGCCACGGCATGTGGCCCTTCTCTGTGCTCCCACAGAAATATCAAGCAGGGGAACCAGCAGTTAGCGTAATGGCTATGTCGCTGGACTCCCATGTAGTCGACCGTGGTTCGTGTCCCGGACCCAGTGGCTTAAAACTCACGCCGGGCGCGTGTGCGTGCGTGCCCAAGATCCCGAGAGGAGA